TAGTCTATAGGTTACTATAATGTTTGTTTATACACATGTATATAAGACTTCATTTTCAAGTATTTAATTGAATTAAATAGTTTAAGCAATTAGTTCTAAAATAATTTCACAAGTGTATTATTTATTATTATTAATTATTTTTGTATATGTTTTATTGTAAAGATACTGTACAAAGGCATTACAGATACTTGAGTAAGGTAATGAGTACATTTCCTATCAAGCATTGTTACCCCCTCCTTTGTTTTCCCTCTACCATCCCTTCCCTCCCTACCTCCCTGATTCCTCCCACCCCCCTTCCGAAGTAAAATTCATTTTCAATATAGTGTTTTGTACATCTCATTGTTACAATGGGTCAACCTGCATCCTTATTTCAGCATTTTGTTATTTCCCTTCCCCTCCCCAAATTAGAAAAATGTATATTCAAGATGCAGGACACCATAATCAAAAACAGTGAAAACAGGTGTTATACCATGCGGGAAGAACATACAAAAGAAACAAAAAAATCACATAGTACAATATAAATACTTTAAAAATAGAAGCAAGAAAGATAAAACCACTTGTGTCCCTATGTTGGTGTTTATTTTTCTTAGCATCATCTTATATGGACATATGTACATACTTTTGACCTTTTCTATTTGTCTTAGACATATACTAGTTATTGCAAATAAAAGAAACCGTGGGACCTATGTTTCTTTGGGCCTGGCTTACTTCACTCAATATAATTTTTCCAAGTCCTTCCATTTCCTAACAAATGGGGCAGTGCCATTCTTTCTGATGGAAGCATAAAAATATGGAAAGCTTTATGAATTTGCTGGTCGTCCTTGTGCCGGGGCCATGCTAATCTTCTCTGTATCATTCCAATTTTAGTTATTTGTGCTGCCAAAGTGAGCACAGTAATATGAATTATTTTTAATTTATAGAAGATGGGCAATAAAACAAAACAACAAAAAGATTGCTCTTAGATAAGTTAGTTTATTTTAATACTCTAATACCAAAAGAAGCATATCAAAAGTTTCCCAGTATAATTATTTAGAAAAAAAATTGGTATGAGAACTTGCTAGGCAGGCACTCTATCTGTTAAGTCACAGCTTCTGCCCTTGCTCAGTTATTTTTTTGGGGGGGGTCCGGTCGTGGGGCCTGAACTCTGGGCCTGGGTGCTCTCTCTCAGCTCTTCAGCTCAAGGCTAGCACTCTACCACTTGAGCTTACAGCGCCACTTCCGGCTTTTATTCTTTTTGCTTATGTGGTGCTGAGGAATCGAACCCAGGGCCTCATGCATGCAAGGCAAGCGCTCTACCACTGAGCCACCTTCCCAGCCCCTGCTCAGGTATTTTTTAAGTAGCTTCTTACTCTTTGCCTAAGATGAAGCCTCCAGCTAGATCCTGCTACTCCTCTCTTGTAGCTGGGATCACACTCCTACACTGGTATTCCTGAGTAATTATAATAATTTAAATCTGATATTTGACACTATATAAATGTTAATCTACATTTTCTATTTCAGATAACTCCTCTTTTTTCATCACACTAAATATAAGAAAAGTAAAGTAATGCCTAGTAAATTCTTGCAAAGTAGCTTAATACTACTATAAATATGATAACAAACATGCGCATCACTCTCCAAATCAACCCTCTTTCCACATCTAATCTGTTGCCAACAGCAGAAGTAACACTTACAGGTAGATTGACAGACTTGAGCAAAGAAAGTCAGGGACCATGCCCAGGCTCTGAGTTCAAACCCCAGGACTGGCATAAATAAATGAATAAATAATTAAATAATAAAGTGACACATATTACTTTGAGCCTTTCAAGAATTATTTTTCATTTAAAGGTTTGAGTGTACATGAATAATTAAAGAGGATACAGGGTTCACAAGCAAAAGTAGGAGAGGCAAGAAGGAGAGAGGTCCAAGCAACTGAGTCCCGGCTCTGCTTTGAGCATTCCATTACAATGTGTAACATTTCCCACAACTCTCAATGGGGAACAGGGAGGCCTCACTGACTGACTTCAATCTCTGCCTTGTGGAGTGTTTCCCAGGAGAATTCATTTATCTCAACCACTATTTTGAGTTTAAGGGTGGACAATAAGATGGTGCTGGTGAACCTTCAAACAGAGATAGAGATCAAGACAAATGCAGAAAAAAAAAGCTGTCAGCATAAGTAACCTTTAAAGACATAGAATGATATCAACACTTTTGTACCACCAGCATTTTAAATTTTATGAGAGATATTACGAGCAAAGGAGAAGATGGAGTCACTTTTTCCCTCTTTGCAGATTAGATGATCCTATATTCAAAGAACCCTAAAGATTCCACACCCAAACTCTTAGAATAATAAATATCTTTGGTAATATACTGGGATACTAAAATCAGCATGCAAATAATAGTTTGTTCTATTTACCAACAATGAACAGGCTAAGAAGGAAATTAGAAAAATTCTATTCATAACAACCTCAGGAAAACACAATATCTAGGAATAAACTTAACCAGATAGATAAATTCATAGAGAAATTTTGAAGAAATTAAGGAAATCATTTAAGTTGAAAATGCTTTCCTTGAGCATGGACTGGCAGAATTAATATTATGAAAATGGCTATAATTCTAAAAAAGCAATCTACAAATTTAATATAATAATTACAAAAAATTGTTATGTCATTCTTCACAGAGAGAGAGGAAAATCAATTCCCACAATTCATAGCGAGGCACAAAAGATCCTAGTTAGCCAAAGTAATTCTGAGCAAAATTAAAGCAATTATGGAGATATCACAATATTAGATTCAAATTATACTACAGAACCATAGTAATAAAAGCAGCATGGTCCTCACATGTGCACAGACGAAAAGACAAATGGAATAGATTAGAAGATCCCAAAATAAATTCTTATCTCCCACCCCACATTAATATTAATTTAAAATGCAACAAAGAATCTTAGTGTAATGTCTAAAGCTTTGGAACTACTTACAATAAAAGAGAAAACACTAGAAAATGTTGGCATAAGAACTAAATTCCTGAATAGAACTCCAGCAATTCAGTAAATAGGAGCACTGATTGACAAATGGAATTGCATAAAGCTAAAGCGATTCAGCACAGTAAAGGAAATAGACACAAGGCTGAAAAGACAGCCTATAGAATGGGAGAAAATCTATGCCAGCTATACATCTGATATCGATCTAATAACCAGAATATAAAGAGGGCTAAAACATAAAACAAAACAACAGAAAACTAAACTCACAAAGAATCATCAACTCAATTATTAAATGGCTAAAAGGAATGCAAGAGATACTTCTCAAGGGAAATGGTAAATAAGTAGGTGAAGAAATGTTCAAGAAACACAGCCATATAAAAGTGAAAATAAAAAAGAAACAACGTTTAGTTTCATCTTCCTATAGTCATAATGGTGAGTATCTAGAAGAAAACAACAACAAATGTTTGCAAGGACATAAAGGATATAGAGGAGGAGAAAAAATAAAATGACCACATACACTATTAATAGGGTTGTAAACCAGTAGAATCACTATGGAAATCACTATGACAGTTTCTAATTTAAAAAAAAACACTAAAAATAACAGTACCATAAAAACAAATGATAATCTATTTGTCTGCTCTAATTTTATTGTGAAATTTGACCTAGAAAATTTTGTTGATGTATTTCCCAGAGATGCAGCTTTGCCGTTGAATAATGCCTTGAGATTGCAAAGTCCATACGATTACTATGGTGTAATTTTCTTGCACTTGCACATAGAATGAAGCCTCGTGGTTCATACTGAAAGAGAAATGCAAGGAATCGGCAGAACACGTCATACCATGAAGCTCCTACAGCCGAGTAGGACAGAGGGCGACAGGTAAAACTGAGATCCTGAAGAAACATGAGGGAATGTGTCAAGATTCAATATATTTTTTAAAAGTCTGTTGTTTTCTTGCCACTGAAAACACTGATCTCAATGATTTCTGAAAAGAGATAGCAGGGATCTTATCAAGTGTCTAAAACAGGGTGATGTGTAATTCAAGTTTGGAGTTATGCATTTGTCTATCAAGACATGTGTCATAACCTCCCAAATGACAAGGCTACAGTTTAGGGTCATAGCCGCAAGCCCTAAAAAGAATGACAGTAGCAAACAAGCAAACCAAATCTAAAGGAGACTGTTTTGGAGTCAAGGGCTTAAAGAAAGACATGAGTGGAATTGGATTTAAAAAATAAAAGTTACCTGTGTCTTAAATCTGAGCAGTAGGTTATTCCGCATATTTGAATAAAAACTGGAAGAATAGCAGCACTGGTATTCATTTGCAGATGAAGTGCAAGTGGACTTCCCTCCCAGCTTCTTACAAGATTGGATTTTATAAGGCCAATAAGCAGGGAAGGCAGATTGAGGTGTTTATAACTCAGGGATGAGTATAGTCAATCTCTGCCGATGAATACAGATTTGTCAGCCCAGACTTTTATGACAAAATTTTGTTTCTGAGCCAAGGTAACCAATAATTTTATGGCCAAATTGTTACCCATTACTTCTGGCTCTTACCTGTTTTTGAGACACATTTGATATTTACTCATATTCTCCTGTTTAACAGGCTCTTCCCTTCAGACATTGTCTCTTTTCCCTGGGCATGCCATACCAATTGCATTCCCTTAGAACATGGTATACTCTAGTCATCTTTCCATACTGCTAATAGGTTTCGTTAACAGAAATTCCTACTTTCCTTTACTCTGTACATTTCCTCATTTTGTAAACTGGGATACATAGTAATCACTTTCAGATACCTAGGCGGTGAAAAGCAACTTTACCAAATTGGAATTTAGTCTTTTAAACGGATAGGTAAAATTCCTAATGAAGGAAACTCACAAGTCATAAGTGAACAACTCTATGGATTTTGAAAATGGATATGCTCACAAAGCATTTAGTCCTATAAAAACCTAGAGTATGACAGCGCTTGCGCTCTCCCCAGGCCAAGCGGAGCCTGAGCCTCTCCGCCTGCGGAGGTTCAGCCTGCGCCAGTGGATCCTGGCCTGGATGTCTACCACCACCAAACGGGAGTTCGAGGAGCTGGGTGCTCAATCCCATTGGCAGCAGCTATACTGGGAAATTCGAAATGAGTCTCATGACTATCCTCATAGAGTGCCAAGTTTCCAGAAAACAGAGATCGAAACAGATCCGAGACGTAAGCCCATATGATCATAGTCGTGTTAAACTGCAAAATACTGAAAATGATTCTATTAATGCCCGCTTAATTGACACAGAAGAGGCACGAAGGAGTTATATCTTAACACAGGGTGCACTTCCTAACACATGTTGTCACTTCTGGCTCATGGTTTGGCAGCAGAAGACCAAAGCAGTTGTCATGCTAAACCGAATTGTGGAGAAAGAAACTGTTAAATGTGCCCAATATTGGCCAATAGATGACCGAGAGATGCTGTTTGAAGAAATTGGATTTAGTGTGAAGCTCCTGTCTGAAGATGTGAAGTCATGCTATACAGTACATCTACCACAATTAGAAAATAACGGATAGTGGTGAATCCAGAACAATATCTCACTTTCATTATACTACCTGGCCAGATTTTGGAGTACCTGAATCACCAGCTTCATTTCTCACTTTCTTGATTAAAGTGAGAGAATATGGCTCCTTGAACCCTGACCACGGGCCTGCAGTGATCCACTGTAGTGCAGGCATAGGGCGCTCTGGCACCTTCTCTCTAGTAGACACATGTCTTGTTCTGATAGAAAAAGGAGATGATATTAATATTAAACAAGTGTTACTGAATATGAGAAATAGCGAATGGGACTTTATTCAAACACCAGATCAACTCAGATTCTCTTATATGGCCATTATAGAAGGAGCAAAGTGTATAGAGGGAGATTCAAATATACAGAAACGGTGGAAAGAACTTTCTAAAGAAGACTTAAGTCCTGCTTTCAATCATTCACCGAACAAAATAATCATTGAAAAGTATAATGGAAACAGACTCGGTCTAGAAGAAGAGAAACTGACAGGTGACCGGTGTACAGGACTTTCCTCTGAAATGCAAGATACCATGGAGGAAAACAGCGAGAGTGTTCTACGGAAACGTATTGGAGAGGACCGAAAGGCTACCACAGCTCAGAAGATGCAGAAGATAAAACAGAGGCTCAGTGAGACTGAACGAAAAAGAAAAAGGCCAAGATTGACAGACACCTAAGCATTCATGACTTGAGAATATTCTGCAGCTATAAATTTTGAACCTTTGATGTACAAAGCAAGACCTGAAGCCCACTCCGGAAACTAAAGTGAGGCTTGCTAAACCCGTAGATTGCCTTACAGTTGTCTGTTTACAAAGTAAACTTAACATCCAGGGAATGAAGAGCAGCCACCAGCAGAAGACTGCAGAACTCTTTCATTTGATATATGGTTAAGTGTTTCTTAAATGTGTGTATGAAATGTAGAAAGATGTAAAAGAAATAAATTAGGAGAGAATACTTTGTATTGTACTGCCATTCCTGCTGTATTTTTATACTTTTTGGCAGCATTAAACATTTTTATTATATAGACAAAAAAAAAAAAACCCGGAGTGTGTGTTCCTATAGTATAGTAAAATAACACAGTATGTTTTAGTTGTTTGACTTCTTTCATGTAGTAAAATTTTTATAAAATTTATTCCTATTGTATTAGAAGTTTGATACATTGTATTTCTGATTAGTATTCCTTTGTATATTGTGCAGCTAATTTATTCATTCTTAATGAACATATGCATTGTTTGCAGCATTTGGCTTTTATGAATAAAAATGCCAAATCATTCATTTAAAAGTTTTTTATAGACATATGTTTCTATGATTATTGGAAAACACCTAAGAGTGGAGACTAGGTCATATGGTAGGTATAAATTTAACTTTGTAAGAAACTGCTATTCGTTTACTAGAATTACAAATCTAACATTAAATTTTCACAAAAGTGATGGTGGAATACTACTGCTAAACTTATATGAGGCCAATGTTACTCAAAACTGACAAAGAAATCTAAGGAAAATGAAAGACTAATATCCCCAATGAATAAACATGTAAAAATTCCAAGCAAAATGTTAGGACTTTTTCCTAAAGGATTTTTTCCCCTAAAGGATTTGTATCATTGTATCATCAGTAGCAATATGCAAGTATTCTATTTGGTTCAGTTACTCACTGTTATTTGTTTTTTTTAAAAAAAATTTTAGAAATTTCAGTAGTTCCACAGGTACTCATAATGGCTATAATTTGTATTTTCCAAATATATTATTCCAAATGAGTAAGTTATTCTCACTCATTTTCTTTTTATGGTAATTCCTAGTACAGAGTAAGAAATATTTGTCTACCTCTACTTTTCCAAGATAATCTTTATTTGCCTTGAGAGTCACAAGCTGAGCATTGGCATTTAGGTTATAATACCTCTTGAATAAATTTCATGTTTGGTGTTGGGTAGAGTTCAATCTTCCTGTCTTTCCATATGGATATTCAGTTGATCTAGCTCCATTTGTTGAAATGATTTTCCTTACTGATTTGCTTGGATGCTTTTGTGGAAATTCAATTGTACTGTATAAATGTAGGTCTATTTCTGCAATCTCTTGCCTAGTCTATTGATGTAATTATCTACCATTAAAGAGAATCTAAACTCTCTTAATTATGATAGCTTTATTATAAACCTTGATGTTGAATATTATGTCTTCTTCCTATCTTTTTCCCCAAGAATTTTTGGCTATGCTAAGTATTTTGCATTTCCAAATAAAATTTGAATCAACTTTTTATATTTCTTCAAGAAAGGCCTGTTTTGATTTGCATTGGGATTTTGTTCAATGTACATATGAACTGGAAGGGGGTAAAGAATTCATATCCTAACAGTTTTGAACTCTGTAATCTATAGCTATGAGGTACTTTTCCATTGGCTTAGATTTTTGTTAATTTAATAGAAAAAAATAGCTGTGTTTTGTTGCTTCAGTGGAACCTTTTGTTACGTGTGTTACTGTTTTATGTTTTTTAAATACTATTGTACAGAGGATCCATTCTTAAACATATATTTTCTAGTTGTAAGCTGTTAGTATATGAATCTTGTAACCTGCAACTCTGCTAAATTCACCTACTAGTTGTAGCAGTTGTCTAAAAAAATTCCTTGTGATTTTTTATGTAAACAATTATGTTATCTACCAGGAGAGACAGATTTGAATTTTCCTTTCCAATTTTTGTTTACTTTTTTTTTCTTGCTTCATTGGCATGACATGGAATAGTACTGGTAAAAGCAGACATGTTGGCCTTATTACCAGTGTAGAGGAAGTCACTCAGTAATCCACCATTCTACATGGTATCATCTATAGGTACTTTGAGGAAGCCCTTGTAAGACTGACAACATATTCTCTGCCTCAAATAAGAGGTTTCTAAGCTATTTTTCCTTTTCTGTTAATATAAAGTATTATAATAATTGATTTTCAAAGGCTAACACAACACTGCATTCCTTGAAGAAATCCCATTTGCTCAGTATATATTATCCTCTTTTTATATATTGCTGGCTTCATTTTGCAGACATTTTGTTAGGAATTTTTACATGTTTATTCATGGGGGATATTAGTCTTTCATTTTCCTTAGATTTCTTTGTCAGTTTTGAGTAACGTTGGCCTCATAAAATAAGCTTAGCAGTAGTATTCCATCATTACTTTTGGGAAAATTCAGTGTTAGATTTGTAATTCTAACTTTCTTAGTAAAAGATGAATTAGGCCTTTGATTTTACTAAAAATGCTCTTATTTTGATAATAAATTTTCCTTTTTACTAGATGTGTAGGCTGGTCAGAATTTCTATTCCATCTTACGTTAGTTTCTTGAAGGTGTGAATCTTCAGGGATTCACTTCTTTCATCTAAGTTGTCAAATTTATTTATTAGAGCTATTAAAATATTCTCTTATTATTCTATGTGTAAAAATCAGTAGTGACATTCTCTTTTTATATTATATTAGCAATTTGGATTTCTTGTTTTTTTCTTCATCAGACTTCCTAATAATTTTAACATTTTTGAAGAATTATATTTTTATTTTATTTCATTAATGTTCCTTATTTTATTTCTGCAGTTTAGTATTATCTGTATTGGACACATTTGGAATTAATTTGTTAATCTTTAAGCAATATGATAAAAGAAAAACCTATGTCATTTTTCTTAACATGTAATCTTGTACATAAATATATAAATCTACAAACCTTTTTCTAAGCACTTATTTAGATACTTCCTTAAAAGTTAATATATGGTATTTCAACATTTATCTATCTACCTATTTATCATATATCTGCTGATAGATATAGATAAATATATTCTTATTTCATTTGTGATTTGTAACACATGGATTATTTAGAAGTAACCTCTCTTTCATCCAAGTATATGTAGATTTCTAAATATTTCTTATTCATTTTTAATTTAAATTTGTTATAGCTAGACAGTTTGCTAGCTTGTGATCTATCTTGGTACATTTTTCATATTTACTTAAAAGTACATGTATTCTTTAGCTGTTGTGAAAGCTTTCTATAAGGACCAATTGGGTCAAGACACGGTAAACAAGATGGTACCTTTCATGTATTCCTTTAGCACATAGGCAGTAGATACAAAGCCAAAGCAACCCCAAATTTTCTTTCTTGCATTTCCCATGTTTCAATTATTACAGTTCTTTGCTTTATATTATCCACTATCTGAATAATAATTTAATATTTTTTGTTCATGATTTTGCTTTGTTTTTGTTTTTGTCAGCGTGACTATAACTTCACTACTTGTTATTCACCACAGCCAAAGGTGGAAGTCTTTATGTTACTTCTGGATATCTAATCTTTTCTGTTCATGCAGATTTTAGTAAGACACCAAGTATTAATAATAAAAATATAGAAAAAATAAAATTTTTAAATGTGAGGGAAATACACAAATAATCAGTGGTATGAGTGGCAGCAACTTAAAAGTTTCATTTGGGTTACTGTGTGGCTAAGCTGGGCTTTCTAATGAGCACTTTTCAACTCCATAGAAATTCATAACTCTACTTCTCCTGTTTTTTTTTTAATTTAGTCTACCCATTAGTTAGTTCATTAATAGTAGCATATGGCTGATGCCCTAATTCTAACTACTTAGGTAGGAAGTGACGACTGGGGGAATCATAGTTCAAAATCAACCCTCAATGAAAAAAGACCCAAATGAGGTGATACAAGTGTCTTTTTTAAATTTTATTTTATTATATATATTTTTTATTTATACATATATTTTATTGTGAAAATACTGTACAGAGCAGTTACAATTACATGGGCAAGACAATGAGTACATTTCTTATCAAGCATTGTAGCCTCCTCCTTTGTTTCCCCTTCCCATCCCTTCCCATCCTCCCCACTCCCCCGGCCCCCGCCCCCCGCACCAAAATTGTAAAGTTCACTTTCGACATAACGACTTGTACATCTCATTGTTGCAATGGGTCCACCTGTATCCCTATTTAAACGATTTGTTTTTTCCCTTCCCCTTCACAAATTATACCGACATCAAATACAGTGAAAGCAGTGGTTATACTGTGGGGGAGGGACATACAAAGCAACAAAGAGATCATCTTATAAATGCGTTAAAAACAATCGCATGAAAGAAAAAAAATTTGAATAAATATCTTAGGGTTCATTTCCCTAACATCACCTTATCTGACCTTTTTTGCTTGACTCAGACATATACTAGATATTGCAAATAAGGGAAACCATGGGACTTATGTTTCTTTTGGCCTGGTTTACTTCACTTAATATAATTTTTTCCAAGCCTTTCCATTTCCTAACAAATGGGGCAATGTCATTCTTTCTGATGGAGGCATAGAATTCCATTGTGTATATATGCCACATTTTCTTGATCCATTCATCTATTGAGAGGCATCTGGGTTGGTTCCATATCTTAGCTATAGTAAATAGTGCTGCAATAAACATAGTCGTGCTATACAAGTGTCTTTTAAGCAATGCAGAACAGGAGTCCAGGTGAGCCTGGCATAAATGTGAATAACAACTGAAACTAAAAAGGTTTAGAGATGAAATTTAAGTGGTAGAGTGCCTACACAGCAAACATAAGATCCTGAGTTTAAACCCTAGCACCACTAAATAAACAAATAAATAAATAAACTAGTGATTTGTATAGTATTAAATAATTATATTATAGTTGTATTGGCATATATTAATTTAAATTAAACTGTCAAGCAATGTACCCTCACTACTTAAGAATTAATTAATTTTCCACACCTGATTTTGAAGTAATC